AGACTCCGTGCTACTACTGAGAATTTTTTAAAACTGTATTTAATGCTGAGAAAGTTTCGAAAAAGTCTAGTTAGTCGATTTGCCGCAAGTGCAACAGACAGAATGCCTGGGGATTCGATTCTGCCCTTTACCCGCCTTAATTATGTTTTATAACTCAATACGTGACTCTTGGATTAAGTAATATTCCTAATATCTTTGTTTTTTTAAAAATTTAAACGTAATACAAAGGCGATACTTCTATCTCACATTCAAAACACAACTAGCGAGAATTTACCACTACATAGGTAGTATAAAACAAAGTTGCTATCCACCGTCTGTCTGTACCTATGTATGCTGTAAACTCGGGGGGCCAAACGCCTCCTGCCGGAGGTTATACGCCGGGGTCGTGCGGTCCATGGCCCTCTACGGCGCCCCTGTTTGGGCGCCAAACCTGTTGCGGCGTCCCGCTCGGACGCTGCTCATGGCACAGAGGGTCATGGCGATCCGAATGATCCGCGGATACCGCACGATCTCTGGGGAGTCGGCGAACCTCCTTGCCGGATTACCGCCGTGGGATCTGGAGGCGAAGGTGCTCGCGCGCGTGTACAGCATGCGCGCGGAGGCACGTCGCCGGGGCGAAACCCCGCTGCCGCGCCAGATAGGTGCGTGGCGGGATGAGCTCCGGCGCGATCTCATGGCGGAATGGCAGCAACGACTGTCGCAACCGAGGGCTGGGCTCGCTGCCATCGCAGCGGTAAGTCCCCTCTTTGAGGAGTGGCTTGAGAGACGCTACGGCGTCCTCACCTACCGCCTGACGCAGGTCCTCACCGGACATGGAAGTTTCGGGAGGTACCTGTGTCTGATGGGGCGGGAGGAAACGCCCGGGTGTCATCACTGCGAGGACCGCCCTGAGGACACGGTGGAACACACGGTGGGAGAATGCCCTTCGTGGGCTGAGCACCGCCGTGTCCTCAGGGAAGTGATCGGCGATGGCGACCTCTCGCGTCCGGGCCTAGTGCAGGCCATGATGCGGAGCGAGGGGGATTGGGATGCCGTCTCCTCCTTTTGCGAAGCAGTCATGCTAGCTAAGGAGGAGGCGGGACGCGTGAGGCAGCGAAGCGCTGCCTCCTCGCAACCCAGCCATCGCGAAGGACACACCGGGCGTCGGGGATCGCGGGACGATCTCCGGCCACCGTAAGCGCGGGCCTGCGGACGGCGAGCATGGGTGGCTCCCCGTCCGACCAGAAACAGACCCGAGCGTACGGCGCGTCGCGTTCCGCGCGCGCCTCAAAGAGCCATCAGACCACCACAGATGGGGCCCAATAGGGCCGATGCCGATTCGGAGTCGCGGAGAACCTAACGGGTAACCGGGGCTCCGGCTCGACGTGCAGGAGAAGGAACGGGGTGGTTTTTAGTCAGTAAGAGTCTGACACTCCCTCCCGCCTCACCCAGGCGGGGGCAGTCATTCGATGATTTTCCCCCCTTAAAAAAAAAAAATGTATGCTGTAAAACTGCGCAACGGAATTAGATGCGATTTTTTTAATGGACAGAGTGATTCTTAAGAAAGTTTTATATGTATAATACATACATATTGTGCCCGTGCGAAGCCAGGGCGGGTCGTTAGTGTTATATAAAGACTAATCTACATCAATAAATTAAAACTACAGTACATAATCTTAATGTATTGGCCAAACTATGTACCGTTTATTGATTTATTTGGCAGAGGAAAGAGATTTAAATAGTCATTATTCATTACTACGAATGCTATTTGTTTATAATTAATTAAAATTGATATATTGATATTATTAATTAATAAAATTAATTGCGTCTTTGGCCTAGAGTTAAATGATTGTGGTGAATTATGACGTCACATTTCCTGACCGTTTTGACTGCAGGTAATGTTAAACATAAGCCACTGTTAAATGGTGCTATGGTTGTATGGACTAACGTTAAATTATTGTTTTGAAACTGGATTCATTACTATATATTTATTTAATACTTAAGTGTGAAAGAGCCATGCTTCGTCATGAATGGGCCGACTCGACCGGAGTGATACCACGGCCTCACAGAAAACCGACGTGAAACAACGCTTGCATTGTGTCTCGTCGTGTGAGTGAGGGTACCGGAGGCCCAATTACCCCCCTCCCTAGTCCACGTCTCGCGAATCCCCGAATCCTCTACAATCCTCAAATTCCCAATTTCCAAAAGACCGGTAACGTACTTGTAACGCCTTGGTGTTTCGAGTGTCCATGGGTGGCGCCGATTGCTTACCATCATGTGATACGTCTGCTCGTTTACCGGCTTATGCTATAAAAAATATATTGTCTATAAATTACATTTTTAAATACTATTTTATAATAATAACACGAACAACAAAAATATAGTATCAAGTGCCGTAATGCACCTCTGTCTACTACTTCAGGCATAAAAGGCGTGATGGTATATTAATAATTACGTACCGGGTAAAAATACTTGTCCTAATAAACAAAGGGACCTCTTATAATTAGTTATTGAATGTGTGAATAGAAAGGAAAAACGTTACTTGATAATCGTTTCGAAGTAATTTGTCGAATGTCATTGTTAGTATTGTATGTTTGGGTACAATTGTACTACATAGATTTATCTATTTACTTATTTGACTAATTTTTAAATGCCAATTGTCTATAAGAATTGAATTGTCATATGAGTGTTGGTGGTGTTTCATTTTTGTATAGAGTTCATAACATAAGTAGGGAAAAGCGAGTACCTATGCAATGGAAAATACATATTATAGACATACTTTTGCATTTGTAGTTATGGATAATGACTATTTAAATAACTTCCCCTTTGCCAAATAATAGTTTAGTTTTGCCAATAAATTAAGATTATGTGGGTACTGTAGTTTTATTGACTGCCTCGTTGGCCGAGTGGTCGAAAGTGCGACTGCCGGGAAAAGGGTCTCGGGTTCGATTCCCGGGTCGGGCAAAGTATTACTGGGTTTTTTAAATATTCTCAGTAGTAGCACGGAGCCTGGAAATTCCCGGTATATGGCAATAGGCTCACCCTCTATTACATGGGACTCATAACATAAATATTGAAAAGTGGTATTAATTGTACAGTGGTATAATGTGCACCTCTGCCTACCCCTTCGTGGATAAAAGGCGTGATGTTATGTAAGTATAAGGCGTGATGTTATATCTTAACAGGCATGCTTCTAGATAAAACTTTGTTATGTTATCAAAAGATTGTAAATCTTTTAGATCTCTGCATTGCAGTATAATAATAATAATAATATCATGAAGTATCTAGTTTTATGACCAAAATATATTATTATGCATACTTACAATTTTACAAGGCTACGGAATATTTTAATATAGGTCAACATTAAGTATACAACAAATTGATTTCATAGCTCTGAAATCCAGGTCATTGTCAGACTTGTATCATATGCGGTGTGCTTTTAAATACGTGATGAAATTATATACGATTTGAACAATAAATTACAAGATAATCATATTACAGGATATATGAATATATTTTTGTGATGAAAAGAAGAAAAAACAAGAAAGATAATTAGTTTTTACTTTTAAACTGTCAAACACCAAGCGGTCACCGGTGACCGCGACCTATTGTTCTATAATTGTGTCTACAAAACCGGTACTCGACGAGTTAATTAACATAATAATTGAAAAGGGCTCTATAAATTTTATACGATTGAACTTCAAACTTCAGAGATACATTACTGGCAATAATCATTGTGGTTGAAAATTTACACAACGAAAGGAAATCTAAAATAAACCTTTTTGGAAAATTTAAGAAAAGAACGAAAAGAAAACAGTTTTTCAATTAAAAAGGACAGACAGAAACAAATGAAAAATTGTGGCAAAAATAAAAAAATGGAATTTTAATACAATGGAAAGAATCCTTGACAAAATAAATAAACAGCAAGAAAGCATAAACAAGAACTGTAAATTCAGAACCGCGTATTAACAGAAGTTGCAGAACATTATTCTTCATTAGACCCTATGACTCCTCTGAGCTCAACTTAACGGCATTCCACTTAAAGCCATGAACTTTATTCCCGACACGAAGCCCCAGCGAAAGCTTTTCGGATTTATGTTCCTTTTATTTGACAACTCTTTAAAAGACACTCAAATTGACTCTGTTTACACCGAGCTGCAACCATGCGAGGCAAAACGACCAATACATCCGAACCATTACGCCCACATTTGAAATAGATGATCGGGCCATTCATCAAACACATTCCACACAAACATAATTGTGTCGCCCACATTAACACAACCAAAAAGCAATATCAATGCAAATAAAATTTACGAGTGCACTTGCAACTCCAAGTAACGCAGCGAAACGAAATAATGTAAATATCTAATAGAGCCAATATTCTGAATATGTGTGAATAGCAATCGATTCAGTAGCAAATGTAAGCAATGTCCAACCAGAAAGTTTTGGTTTAGAGCCAACATTAATAGCGGGGTGATATTTGGACGAGCAACCGCTGTCGGCTGTAAATCTCGGGATAAAGCTGCATTTATATAAATATTTTGCTCTCGACATCAAAACTATGCTCCGCCTGTTAAAGAAAGATGCGAGAAAAATGTTACAAGTTTATTGTAAAACCAATTGTACATCCGCGTTGAATCCTTTCACAGAGCAAGTACACTGAATTACAGAAATAAAATATTAACTTTTTAATTTTAAACTTTTCTGAAATGCGGAAAACAAAAATAGAAAAATAGGACAATGTCATATCACAGTGTTCGCAAAGGTGGATGAACTACGCGATGAAATATAAAGCGGTGAGAATTCGGCCGCGGCCCACGTCAGTGATCGGTCGTAATGGTACAAATAAGATGAACGGTAGCTGCATTGCGGATGAATGGAGCCGCAGGATTGCAATAAATAATAATCGCGAATCTGTCGGAAGTATTATGGATGTTGTTTTGACGATTTGCTCAAGACAAATTGTAGACAAGGCGCCCGTTATTGGGGTCGGTACGAAAATACATGGCGGCGGCGGAGCAGACGGCAGTAGGCGGCAGGCGGCGTACGCGCCGACCGCGCGCACCACCTCCTGGATTCAAATGTACCGGCTCATTTACTACACCCGCGCTATATTTAACCGCTGCGACCAGATTAATATCTGCATGTTCCGTCACAAAAATAAGTGATCCGTCTCCTGAAAGTTGTGATGTGAAAATTGATCTACGACAAGTGTGCTACCTTCAGTGTCGGATATAAATGTGCTCGCTGGATAAACAAATACGCGCCCAAGATCTGCTATTCACTGCAACGTAGGAAGTAAATACATATAACATTTTGCGGTGAACATCAGACCTCGTGAGTACCTCGTATCTATTTTCTTGTTTTGTCAATTTGCCAAAACGCGTCCCGAGCTTTTAACGTTTTAAAAATTATGTTACATATATAATGTCTAAATCGTAAACTTTATGATAAATGTTATTGGCTTTGGAGTAACGAAAGAAAACTTATTTCAGTGAAATGAATCCTCCGTCAGCGCTATACGGCGCGATGAGCCGGGATCGAAAGCCGTTCACGTACACCCCGGGCGGGCTCGACCTCTCAGAGATCAAGTCTGAGCGTATGGCGAAACGGTTAATGAGGAATGCGATGAATCAAGGGGTTCCTGAAGTACCTGTGCAGCCGGTACAGCCGCAGTCAAATACGTCGGCTCCTGTAGCACTCCCAAACTTCAATTGTTTGCCAGTTCAAGTGTTTCCTACTTTTAATTTGCCGGCGAATCCAAAAAGTTTACTTAGAACTAGAAGTCACCCTGAACCGAGAGAGACTCCAGTACAGAGAGTAGTAGCACCTGTAGTAAACAACACGAGACTTGATGGCAATGATACGTTTAATAATAATAGTAAATATACGCCAACGTATCCGCAAATAAACAATAACAGACCTGTTTCTATGTTTGAGTATAACTCTCCGGCCGTAAATTCGTGCAGTTTACCGAGAACGAATTATGGCAGCGACGGATATACAGCGCCGGTACTTCCGGAAATTAGTTACGAGGCCGAATATTTCCGCGCACAACCGAAACTTAGTGCAACCGAACATTATGAACAGTTACCAAAGTTGGAAATTAGTGAAGAAAAAGACAAAGTACCTGTTATTGAAAGTGATGAACCGATTTTAGATTTGACAATTAAACCGATATCTGAAGTGACTTCAGCTAAATCTCCTCCACCGATTGTTATAGAACCTGTTGAAGAAAACGTGGCAACTGAAGATGAACAGGTTCAATTAAAATTACTGTATACTTATTATGTCTATATCTATATGTGTGTTTTCGTTGTATGCTATACATATTTACTATACAACATTACGGATCTATAGAGAACATACTAACAAACTCTAGTGAGTTTAAATGTTTTGTTACTCATATTAAATTATTATTATTATTATATTTATTGTTCTGTCACTATTATGCACACGTTGACCAATTTCATATATTTTATTTGTTGTTCGTAATAAGAATACTAAAAAGTCAAAAATACTAAGTGTCTGTGAATATTGACTTTAATTTTGTTTATTTCATTTTCAGAAAGAAGTCAAAGTTGTCAAGAAACAAGTTAAGAAAGAAAATAAAGTTGAGGAACAAAATGGAAACCAGAATGGTGATGCAAACAATGAGGCTGAAATGACTGTGAAATTGCCAACAAAAAAATCGGCAGCTAAAACTGAGACTAACGTGGAAGTTGTGAAGAAAGTCTTGCCAGATGGCTCTATTGAAGAAGTTAAAACAACTACAACAAGGACGACTATTGACGGAAGGACAGAAATCAGAACTAAAACTGAGACCACAATAATTCCCAAGGAAGAAGAATATGAAGAGGAAGTTGAAGAAGAAGAAGAAGGAGAAATTGAAGAGGTCCATGAAGAGTCAAACGAACCTGAAACAGTCACAGTAACGGCTAAGATTACTGAACCTAAGGAAAATGGTTCTAAAGATAATATTATTACCACAGAAGAAAGATCAGAATCAACAACGACATCTACTAAAAAAGTGGTAGTAATACAAGACTCTCCTAAAGAAGAACAATCTGTTGAAGTAGATCAACCAGAAGAAGAGGAAGCAGAAGAAGAAGAAACAGAAGAAACAGAACCAGTGTTAGTGGTTTTGAAAAAACAACCTACACCAGAACCTAAAGCTGAGTCAAAAGACGTTGAAGAAGATGAACAAGAAGAAGAAGAGGTTGAGGAAGAATTAGAGGAGGAATCAGAAGAAAAACCGAAGCCAGCACCACAGGAAGCAAAGAAACAAGTAGAAGAAGAAGAGGAAGAAGAAGAAGAAGAAGAAGCAGTTGAATCTTCTGAAGAAGTAGAGGAAGTAGAAGATAAAAAGGTGGAAGTAAAGAAAGAAGATGTTAAAGCACAACCTCCTAAATCGGATGAACAAGAAGAATCGGTGGAGGAAGAGGAGGAAGAAGAAAATGAGGGGTCAGAGGAAAAAGTAGAGACCACAGTAGAAGTGAGCAACGAGACTGAAGTAGAAGAAAAGAAAGATGAGAAAAAAGATGAGAAGAAAGATGAAGAAGAAGAAGTTGAAGAGGACATCAGAGAGGAACGTGAAGCTGTTCTTGAAAAACCCGCAGATGATTCTGAGGAAACTTCAAAAGAACCTGAAGAAAAGGTGATCAAAGTAGAAGTGGTGTCCAGTGAAGAATCTAAGTCAGAATCTAAAGAAGAGAAACCTGAACCTGCACCCCAGAAAGAATACAACATACCTATAAGGGAACCATCCATTCCACTTGATAAAGTAGAAGATGTTGAGATCAAACCTATTGGAAGCACCCCATTAATTTCTAAAACCCATACAGAAAACACAGAAATTATAAGAAGCACAATCGATCCTTCCAGTGGACTCAGTACCCAAACGCAATACAACAAAATTGAAAACATTGTCACTGTGAACCGCACTACAAAAATTTTAGATCGTAATTACGAAAATGTGACCCAACAAGGTATACCTACTGTCAAGACATACTTCCCACCTCCTAGCATAGATAGAATCTCCACTTCCCCTCTGCCAGCTAGGCCTTATCAGCCGGTGTACGCCCCTGAGCCAACTACTGAAAGACGTCACAGCCTCCTTCTGGAAAGGCTTAGCATGGAACGTCAGTTGCCTACAGACGTCTATCAATACGGTAATAATCAATCTAACGACCAGCCTCAATATACAGATGAACCACGAGCTGAAGTCCTTACTGTCAGCAATGTAAAGCCGAGTTCTATCACCAGTGACCAAAAATGGTATCAGCAAAATCAGAGCCTTATTTACAATAACTTATCTACCACTCCTACGCCGACCAGCCAGCCCTGGACTCAGCCTAAATCTCAACCGCAACCACAACAACAGTATCAACCGCAACCCCAATTCCAAGCACAACCCCAACCACAATATCAGGCTCGTCCCCAGCAGTACCAACCATCTACTCCTCAACCCCAATACCCACAACCCCCTGCGCCCCAACCCCAGTATCAACACTCTTTCTCTGAACCCGCTCCCGAAAGGGCGCCGTCAAGCTACTCCACATACACACCCACACCCTCGTGGTTATCCAACAACGAAACACAACAGAACACCTCGCCATCCACTCAGTACTCTTATCAAAACAAAGAAACATCAGACAGCTATCAGAAATCTTCACAGCAGTACTCCTCTGGTTACGTTCCTCCTCCATGGGAGCAGGACTCCAGCTACACATCTGTCAATAACACTTCACAAGTATACTACAAACCCGCCCCTCTACCGCAAACATCAGCGTTAAGTCCCATTCCTACTCAAAGCTGGAAACCACCACCGGCTACTAAGTTCACCAAACCTGCTCCAATCTCCTACATACCACCAGCACCAAATCAGTCCTTTGTTAGATCTGCATCTGTGTCGGAACCACCCAGGTCGGTTCCAGGTCGCAAGACATATTACAGCGAATACGAAAGACGCTACATTAGTGTACCAGAGTCTACATACATCCCCACGGAGACCAAGTACCAGCCACAACCTGATCCTTCCCCCCAGTATTACTACGACAACTATGAACCAACGGAAGACATTGAGCCGCAATGGCGCAGAGAGCTTAGGGAGTTTACTGAGAAAACGTCCCAAACTACTACCACGGAGCAAACGAACGTCCAGCCGCCATGGGAAACTGAAGCGAAGTTTACAAAGAATCCGTCGGTAGTCTATAATCCCACTCCATCGTGGAGTCAGACATTAAGACCACGTTCTTGGCGCGAAAGAAGTTTCGAATCAGAGTATGTAACTCAAGAGTGGCCGAAGACTAACACTTTAGGTAGAGGCAGGCCGTTGAGTACTTTAGGTAAGACTTTGGATGCGCCGATTCCTGAGAGGACCCGAGGAGTGTCGGTGGACCGATACAACCCGAACAGCTACCAGTCGCCGGCAGAGCACGCGCCCGTACAGGCGCACACGCTGACGACGCCGGCGCCGCACGCTGGCTACCATAACCCGAACGTGCCCGCGTATCACGCTCGTGCTTCAGCTGAACCTAGGTAAGACTGTATCAAGAAGACTTATATGAATTGAAAGATACAACATTATCCAAAGAATGTTTATTTATAAAAATCTAAAGAATGCTTGCCTTACTGTGCACTCCTGCCTACCCCATCGGGGATAAAAGGTTTGCGTGAAGTTATGTGTGTGTTTATTTATATAGAGGTATACTTCTTGTAAAAAATAAGGAAAGACTGGCTTCAAATGTAACACTGGAATGTTTTCCTGATTCCAAAAACATTGACTATCATTTTAAAGGCAAGATTTAGCAACTAAAGCTCCAAACATTCCTTCAAATGCCAATCATTTCAGAGCTGAAACTGAAGCGTATCTCGAAATAACCTCGATGTTTGCTATTTTCAGAGAGCAACCGGTTTCTTACCAGCAACGCGTGTACCGGGAAGCCCGCGCCAGTCCTCTTCAGTCGAGATCTTTCAAGTACCTGCAATGGATCACTGGCACAGAGAATTAAATCACTTAGGACTAACTTTAATTTAAGCTCTTATAAATATTAATTTACTTGAAAGATATAAAACATCGTCTGTAAGAAATATTCTATTTATGTAAATTGAGAATGTGATTTTGAGATCTGTAAGTAGACTAAAAGTCCTTCAACGATAATCCTAAAATTCTGTAGACCGAATTCTTAGCGATTATTCACGAAGCGAATGTTTAAAAGTGTCGTGTATAGGTCGAAACGAATCGAATGAGAGTTATTGTAAATTGTAAGTTAGGTCTTTGAAATCTGTATCTCGTCTGTAATTAATTTTCTCTTTCAAATGTAAATACATTTTTACACGGGCCTTGTATACGTACTAAACCGCATGCTTTCAATTATTTATCTTTCTCGTTTCATTTGAATTACTATTGTGTTGAGAAACTGCGCGATATTGTGATAAGTCTTATGAATTATTGATTTTGTTCTAACCTAGTCAATGGAGACATGATTGTCGCTAGTCTTAGCTCTTTAACATAAAACTACACCAATGCATTTCTGCTTCAGTTTGTTCTAATAAATTCTTCAAAATTAAGTTTAGTAAAATAATAAATTACTATTTCATTAGCATTTATTTATATTGTTCGAAATATAAAATTTGTTTTGCTGTTTAATGAACTCAAAATTCAAATATCGAATAGTGAATCCATTTTGTTTTTTAACGTTTAACGAACTTTGATGTTTGTTGTTCTAAGTTTAAACAACATTTTGGTTTTACATTTAATTTTGATTTGTGTTGGACGAACGAAGCAAAATTATTTTTATTATTCGTTGAAATTATTGTGAGTATAAATAAAATTAATTGTAATAGTAGAGTGTACACATGATACATTGCGTCTTTTATATAAAAAAGAGCGTTTTATGTGCATTAGTTTGTACACGTTTTGCTTATTAATTTATTTAGCCTAAAATTATGTTAACTATTTATTTAAATCTACAAATAACCGCATTATACAATCAGAAGTGTGTTTAAATCTCTTGTCTCTCTCATTCATAACAAATATAAAATAGATGCATGGGTTCTTAAAGTTGTAACAAAACATTGTTTCATTTTATGTTATTGTTGAGTTTTATTTAATAAAATATTCAAGTTTATTGCCTGTTTACTTCATTCAAACGAATTTAGGTCGCGGAAAAGTTTGTTTACGGGATAAAAATTGTGTTATGAAGTTATCATGTTATTTCCAACTTTCTGCTGTAGTAGAGCTCACGAGGTGAGTATGTGTGCTTTTTATTTGTTTTGACTACATACGTTGGTTATTCAATAATGAGTTTAATATTTTAGTGTAATAAGGTGTTCATTACACTGAGTGATAGGCCGTGGTGTACCCAAACATATCTTGGTTGGTTAAGTACGTCTGGGAATTTCGAAATTCGATCATCCTTACGTCAAAGAGCCTAACCTCTTTAGAGATCTTCGAAAACTGTTCAAAATGACGATGTTATCAACATGACCTACTTAAAATAATTAATTAAATATACACTCAGTTAATTCACTTTAAGGATCCTTTTAGAATGCAAGGTTGCGGTCACGTCCCGGCAAATAAGGATATACGTCTTTCAACCCCCCAACGCCCCGCAAAACCGTAAAAATCTTTCTTTACAGCAGTGGTACAGGGAAACCCTCTCTTCCTCTACCAAACTACCCACTCTGTGTCGACGTGCATCGCTGTACATTATGCGATTTTAAAATGCACTGATTTCAAACGTGGAAAAGAATTTATTGGTATTTCTTTTTTTGCGTTTGGTTATCCGCTGGCAGCTTGAGGGTTTGTTTTTAAATGTTCTTAATTCGAAAGTTTAAATTATGAAGTTTATTACCATAATGCGAAAATAAAATGGTAATTTGAATTTATTCTCTAAACGAAATACAAATGAGTTGTATAGATTACGTACGTAAATATATCTATCTAATGAGATTTATGACACAAACAATATACAATTAGTCGCTGAAAATCTCAGCTTTTGCTAAAAAAATATGAATTCTAAATACGGTTTTAATTTTAACAGCACAGTAATTAAAAGATTTGTCACTGTGCTACGAGTTCAAGTTCCGTCAGAAACAAGAATATGTTCTTCGTGACAATTAGTTACAAAATCTAAATATTAAATTAACATTTGGTCATTATTATTGTTTGTTTTTTGTAGTTACAAGTTCATAAATAATAATACAAATGAAACTGTTTTTTTTTCTGAATTTGTCGATAAGACTCATATTATTTATAGATATGAAACAAGAACTCATGTTACTTGCTTGTGTATTAGACAATTGAGAGGATGTGATGATACGATGCATGATTAATATTTTCAGAGCATAGATACTCACATTCTTGTAACTGGAGATAGATTTTTTATTGTGGTTATAAATCCACTTTCAAATTTATATCTGTATGTAAAAAAAAGTCGTTAGTTACACTATTTAGAACTCAAGAATGGCTTAGTCGATTTGGATGAAAATTGGTGGGGAGGTAGATTAGAACCAGGAGATGGACATATGATACTTCTTATTCAATACATTTTTTTAATGGTTACCGATAATCAAGAACAGTAACGGGAAAAAAGTAATAAAAGCCTCCCTCATCCCTATAATTTTTAAAGGTTCCCCTCGGTTCCCCTGGGATTCCATCATCAGATCCTGACTTGATGACAATAGGACCAAATGACGAGTCTACCCTTGCAAATAAAAAAAGAAATTTTAAAATCGGTCTAGGCGTCTTCGAGTAATCGAGTAAAAGATAAAAAAAATACATTTGAATTGAGAACCTATTTCTTTTTTTTTTAGTCGGCTGAAAGCGGGTTCACGCGCTCGCGGTCGATGTCGAAGTTTCGTACAGAAGCTAGTTTTCCTATAAAGACCTAAGTAAGTCAATGTGACATACATAAACAATAAATAAAACCATTTCCAACAACTTAATACACAAAACATGCAATAATGCGAGTAACATTTGCAATAAAAATGCAATAACGTGTCAGTACCACAGCAAATATGTATTGGTACATATCTGGCAGTAGGCCAACACATTCATCACAGTGCGACCGCGCTGTTATCCAATTATTCCCGTGTTTCGTGATAGCCGTCACTTGTACTACTGACATATCTGTGCTATGTATGTGTAGTCTGAGATGTGGCTTTAATATCTACGTTTGGAGTTAAAATCAATACCAAATGGCTTATGATGGTCAACTGCTTGACTTCTACAAGGAGAAGACCTGGAAATGGCTGGGCATCTTTTTGACTGCACGTGAGGTGGTGACTGGACAACCAGCTGTCCCGCAACGTTGGATTCCTGCATGGAACAACTATTTGCGTGATCCACAAATTGGTGTTTCGGGTCTGAGTGTCATATGTGAAATCGTATCCTTGTAAATGCTTCCATGACACAGGAGAACATCCTAGTGAGGCAACGTTCTTTGAAAAAGAGAAGAGAGAATCTCTTGGAAGGCGGGATGGAGAAATGAGGAAAAGTTTCGGTTTTTTTATGGAATAAGCCGGTAAAAGAGCAAATAAGTCACCTGATGGTAAGCAATCGGCGCCGCCCATGGACACATGAAACACCAGAGGCATTACAAGTGCGTTACCGGCCTTTTGGGGATTAGGAATTTGAGGAGATTGGGAAGAGGCGCAATTGGGCCTCCAGTAACCTCACTCACACGACGAAACACAACGCACGAGGCTTTATCAGAGAGCGCTCCTATTTGGTTTCATTCAAATGCGTAATTCTTTAATCAGTTCTTCTGACATTCATGGGAAGAGAAGGGATGGTGACAGACAAATTTGTTCTACCCTTCCGTTATCAAAATATGGCTTAGATTGCAGTGGCATTTGAAATTCGTAAGTAGCGATTAGTTTTTGTTTTCTTACTTCAAGTTATTTATAAGAAAAGAAATAGTACATAAGGAATGTATTCAAAACCCTATTGGCAGCTGCCAAGCGTAATTAAATTGACATTCATCAATTGTCTTGATTATACTAAACATTTATTACATAAACAAAAGATTGAGTGGATTGTTTTAGTTGTCGTTAGTAATTATTCTTTGTGATTAGAAAAACAAATGAATATTTATTTATTTCGCATCTATAACACACAATGACTATCGACAATAAACACGCAAACAAAAAAACAAAACGGTATAAATTCGCCTTACTCTGTATTCGTACGAAGACACCTTAACAAAAGCATAAACCGATTCTATTATCCTACCTCAAGACTATTCAGAAGAGGCGTTCCCTGTGGATTACCAAAATACCTCTCGTTAAGCGATTACGCCTCTAATGTTTTCGATTTTTACGATAAAAAACCGTTCAGTTACAAGTCCCTTGCAATTTTCCCGGACGAATACCCGAATATCCTGTGGAGTTTTCTTATATCCCACTAGAGGGGCGCCTATTATCTTTTGAGGAGAAAAGAAATACCGAAAATTGCTCTAATTTATACTCCGTGCGTGTAAGTATTCTCGCCGCGGTGTTTTAGGGTTGAACGACGATTTTTGGGAATGTCCTCGGTCGGTTGAGGGTTATGATTCGTAATGAGATAAGTGGTTGGTATTAGGGTATGGTTCCAATATCTTTGATTATGTTACGTGTGTAGTTAATCGTCTTAGGAATGGAAAATGGTTTTCGGGATTTGGGTGATTGTTGGGTAAGCGTAGGGATTTTTTTAAGGGGGAAAATCGTCGAATGACTGCTCCCTCCTGGGTGAGGCGGGAGGGAGTGTCAGACTCTTACTGACTAAAACCACCCCGTTCCTTCTCCTGCACGTCGAGCCGGAGCACCGGTAACCCGTTAGGTATGTCTTTGTGATTGAAGTAGGTATTAGAGATTAGTTTCATAGACTTAAAAATAATTCAAAGAGTTGTTGAGCTACTAGCCACTGTGGAGTCCAGTGACAGTCCTTCGAGAAACACAGTTCCGCAAGAATCCAATTAGTGCAAGGGTTCCCGCTCAAATATTGTTCAATATCACATTTATGTTGGTATTAATCGACAGAACTTTAATTGATTTTGTTTAATATAACAATTTAATAATGTTCAAATAATTACTTAAGCACATAGTCCTCTAAGTTGGAACCAGTTATGTTGTATCAGCCTTCGTGGTGGCCCGAAGGTTTAGGACGCCCACTTCTCATGCATAAAGGGTGCAGGTTCGAAACCGACCAACGGCTAGTACCAATTTTCGTGACGTGAAGAAAAACATCGTGAAGAAACTTGGGCCTATAATTTGTAATTGTAAGTTTGTAATCGCCAACCCGCATTGAGCAAGCGTGGTGATTAATTCTCAAACCTTCTCCGTGTGAGAAGAGGCCGTTTGTCACCGGTGGCCACTTATAGGCTGTTGATGTGTGTAAAACGAACACTACTCAAATAGTAATTAATTAGTTCTATGAACAGTTCAGAAATACTCAATTAAGTTAATTAAGTCGAGTATCGATCTTGCAATAGGAAGAGCCACAGAAAATTTGACCCAAAGTTGCAATATATTTTCTTTTACTGAAAGAATATAAAGTTATATACTTATATACGTACTTCAATATTGTATTATACGCTTTCGGCGAACAAAAATATTGAATTTCGAACTATATGTCAATACCCTTCCTACTTCACTCTTTCATTCTACGTTTGAACGAACTATGAATGAACAAATTCCACAAACACCGTTCATTTCTACGCCACAGATAATATAAAAAAAACATACTGCCACAGAGCACAATTTTCCTAGATTGGGCACGACGGAAAAGGCCCTAAATGCTTTTGATAGCATAACTTCAGAAACTATCAAAGGTTTCTTGGCAAAACTCTCACTGTCATACAATAGACCTTCAGGGACCTTCGGGACTGGGCCGATGTTTATGGGGATCAAATGATAGGACCCAATTCTATTTTCTATCGAGTTCTATCGATCTCGTGTTTGGTGTTTCTATTGAGTAGCTATTCTAATGCAATTGGCAATTGTTTTTTTTGCAGAAATAAACGTTGTTACCCACTGCCGGGTCCTTTGTTGAATTTTAATAAATATCGCGTCATATACTGTGTAGAATGTAAAAATGAGCTTTTGATTGCCAGTTGGCGACCGTTTACTGTGCAATGTGACGCAGGTT